GAGCTCCCCTTGGGGTTCTGGGGTGTGAACTTGGGGGCTGGGTCTGTGCTGGGTTCTGGTAGAACCTTAACCCTGTACCTCACTGGAGATGAAACCCTTCTCAGGGTCTCCCAACCTTCCTGGTGACTCTCCCCCTGGGCCAGGGGAATTCCCTGCAGGGGTGCAAGTGTTGAGGAAGGAGCTGCTCTGTGACTGTGAAAGCACGAGAAACCAGAGAGGGGCTTTCAAATGAATTTTCAGGTTCATTCACAGCTTGGCCGAAGAGCAGCTGTGGGAAACAAACCCTCTGAGAACTGAGAGAGGGGCTGGGCCGAGCCCAGCTCTGCTGGGAGGGAGGGAATTGGAGCGTTTGAGTGCTGGGGAAATGAAAGTGCCCTGGGCTGGTCTCACGCAGCCCGTCCTGCGGGGCTGGGGCTCTGCTGCAGAGGAGTTCTCAAGATACAGGAAGAAGAAGGAGTTGTTTTAGATTTCCTTTAGCCCTGGCGTGTCTTGAGAAGGGAAATATTTTTGTCTGAAGTTTCATTGCTAGTCAGCAGTGGCTTAACTCAGAGAGACGTTTTTGGAGGCAGTGGGTCCCCATGGCAGTCACTGAGTCTGCTGGAGAGGGACAGGAGTGTTCCCTGTATGGGGAGTGAACAAAGGTGCCTTAATTGTTGTCCCACCCCAATCTGAAGGGCTCATTTTTGGTGCTGGGATCCTTCTGGGAACTGGTGTTCCATCACAATGTGAAATATGGATTGTGCTTCCCTCATGGTTCTTCACTTTATAACCTAAATTTGCAGATTCATTTGTTCCAACGACTCATGAAGAATGAATGGGAACAATTTCTTAGAAGAGCATAATATAAATTTGATTGCACTTTGAAATCAGTGCCATTGGGACCCAGACTTCTGAGGACTCATCAGTGCTTTACATCCAGTGGCTCAAACTGGAATGAGACACCTGTCCAACTTCTGAAGGTCTATCATGACTTTATCTTCTAATTGCCCCTCTAATGACGAGGTGGGGCTTTCCAGGCCTGCCGGTGTCTGTGATAACCTCATCTCCTGTGTCCCTCCCCAGCTTTATCTCTGAGTTCCCTGAATGAGTTTCCATTTGTGCTCAGCCAGATAAGCAGCACCCTTGGAATATCCCCTGGCTGACGCAGGCAGCCCTGGGGGGAAGTCTCGATCAGATTAGAGCTTATCAGGCTGCACAAACACAGCCCAGACACTTGTGGTAGCTCCAGGGTTACCCTGAGGGCCAGCCTGCCCAGGGGTCACCCCTCTCCACTCAGGGAAGTGTTCAGCACGTGCTTGGGTGAGAGAACAGTCCCTTCAGCGGGTGTGCAGCAACCCCTGGGCTCTGTCAGCTCAAAGGTCAGAGCTGGAGGGTGGCTGATTTATCACCCAAGTATGAATCTGCAGGACAGAAGATGGTCAGAGTGGAAATGGGCTCTGCTGCTGCACAGCTCCATGAGGAAAACACCCACCTGCTAAGGGGGGAGATGGGAGAGCAAATCCCGAGGAGTCCTGAAGCTTGGGAAGTACTGGCAGGGGAGGAGAGTTTGCTGCAGGGAGGGCTCTTGTGCAGATGCCCCGTGTTGTGAACTCCTCCTAAATCAGATTTAACGCAGGAAGACCACTTGTGTAATGGATAATTGAAATATGGCATAAGGGCACAGGATTGGAATTCATGCTGAGGGGAAAAGAAATCCATGGAAAAACTCCATCAATGGGCAGGTTGTTGCCAGGGCAAAATAGTGTCAGTTTTACAGTAAAGAGATGTTTTGTATTCCATAATGTTCTTGTGTTGTAGAAGCATTTGAGCTGTCTGAAAATACCAGGACATTCAGCAGTTTGAGCTCACCTAGGACTTTCTTACTCATCCCACTAAAAGTGCCAAGGAAATAAAGCTGTTCCTTTGTATCCTTCCAGAGAGGGCAGGAATCACTCCTGGGTGTTCAAGAAAAGCACCAGGATGCCTGAAATTCAGGGGACTTGAAGATTGCAGCACCATACCAGGAGCTTTGGTGTGATCCCTGATATCCCTCCCAGTCTTTAACATCCCATTGCTTCCATCATTGGAGCTGGAGATGATGAACAGTCAGATCTGAGACATTTGGGTCACAAAATCAGGAGGTTGAGTGAACTTCCCTGTGCTGACTGTGATTCTGTGACTCCAGCCTGTCATAGCTCCTGGCTGGGAACCTTGTCTGTCCCTGCCCTTGGGTGTGTGGTTAATCCTTGGACTGTGGGATCCCTGGGCCAGTCTCCAGTGGGGCAGCCACGATGCCAGGCCTTGGGGTCACACCCAGTCCCATTCAACCCCAGCTGGTCAATGATTAAAAGCTGCTCTGGTAAATGATTGTGTTGTGCCCCGACCTGTAAAACGTTTATAAGGCCTGAGAATAGTTCATTGCCTCCATATAAACTGCTTATAACCTGGAAACGTGGTGTGGGGCTGAGGGCAGGGACAGAGGGACAGAGGGACAGGCAGAATGTTGGGCCTCTTATTGAGATCCACTGGATCCTCGTGCCGTGGGAGGGACAGGAGATCCTGCACAGATCTCTCCCAGATCTCTCCCTCCAGAGCAGAGGCAGGAGGAGTCCCCCTCTGTGCCTGGATTTGAGTGGGCAGGAGCTGGAAGTGTCAGAGCCCTTTGGTCCCTAATGCATCCTGAGGATACAGATAAGATGGGCTTGTGGTGACTGGCAGCTGGAAGGAAAGGGGGAATGCTGCCTGTTCCAGTGCTGGAAGGGCTCTGGGGGATGTGCTGAGTTCCCATGACCTACTTGTGTGGGGTGGAGGGGTCAGTCCCTCCTAATGCCCTTCCCTTGGCATCCCTGGTGTGTCACAAACCACTTGGGGCTGGGGCTGAACCTCACACTCCCTTCCATCCTCCAAGTTCTACCCAAATGTGAATAACCAACAATATACCAAAAGATGAGTGGCAGAAATCACAGGTATCTTTCAGTATAATTGTGATAAGCAAGTTTTCCTTTGTGTGCTCATCTTTCATTTAATGTTGTTGTTGTCTCAACGAAACTGGCAATGGGCATTCTGCCCAAAGCCGTGGTAGAGGATTGCAAAATCCAAAACAGGGCTCGAGACTTTCTCTTGGGCTCCCAAAGCTGTTCTGAGGCTGAAATGGAAGGTGTGCAGGGAGGAAAGAAAAGCCTCCCTGGATGAGCTTGACGTGTCCTGGGCTGCAACGTGAGCTCAGTGGGGATTTCCAGCAGGAGCACAGCTCCTGCTTCTTGGAGGTGGAACTCAGCCTCTTTCATTATCAGGTCTCTGGGTGGGTTCATTCCTTCCCCATGGAGCTGGTGATTTATCTTGTTTGATGGAGAAATTGCTATGACAAAATGCTAAAAGCTCTTGCTCGGGGCTATTTTTAATCTGCTGTAGGTGAAAGATCAGAAGACATTTTTGGAAGATTTATGTGTCATACCCCTGTGCTGGGTGGGATAAATGGGAGTTGACAAAATACAGGGCACAAGATTTAAACCATTGCCCTCTGACATCCCGAGGCATCCCAACCCTGTGTGATCACAGTTGTGTTCAGCAGGGGAAGGCTTTGCTCTGGGGGCATCTCAGATGCTCAGCAGAGGTGCAGAAATGCAGTCCCTGTTCAGTCTTTAAGCTTTATTGGTGGTGATCAGTAGTTAAACCTGCTCTCGGGCCTCCGTGGGTTTTAGTGCAGAATATTTTCCAGCAGTCTCTGCGTGCTCGTGGTGTTTGTGCACAGTAACACAGCCCTGTTCTGTGGGGAGGGAGAAGCTACTTAATGACAGTTCAGCTTGTGCAGACTCAGCGTTTTTTGCTGATCCTTTAATAGTCCAAACTGCTTCCAGCTCTGGGATCTCTGTCAGCTGTGCCCATTTCTGAAACAGGAGCCCTGACAAAGGCTCTTGACAAAAGCCCTCAGAAATTCCAGGAAACCTTTTTTTCACATCAAGTGTGAGCCAGGGCCCTGTTTCTGCAGCAGTGCAGGAGAGGGGCAGGGGCAGGGTGGGTGCTCTGCCCAGGTCACCCACAGCACTGGGACAGCCCTTCCAGAGCCAGGGACAGGGATGGAGGGCTGAGGCTGAGGGAGTGCAGGCTGACTGGAGAAGGGGTGGCTGAAGGGGAGGACTGGGCTGGCTGCAGGCTGAGACACTGCTCTGGGCAGTGCCCAGGCTGGAACCTGCACATCCTGGGATTTCACTGATTTAGTGCTGCCTTGGGGCTCCCCAGGCCTGCCCTGCTGCCCCTGCAGGTTCAGGGCTCTGTCAGTGCTCCTGGTGTTCACGTGCAGTTTGTGCTCCCAAAATGACACATCCTTGTGAGGCCACATCACCAATTAACATGTGGATTTGTTCTGCATGTGCAAGTCTTTTCTTGGGCAGGGAAGTGTCACAGAGACTTGGCTGAAGGAAAAAAGGAAACAGTTTAATCTTAAATTGTAATTGTCATCCTCTGGCTAACGATAAGCGATATTATGGCCTGTGTATCAGCTGTAATTAAGCAGTGAGACACAACAAGGTGTGTGTTACAGGCAGATAACACAGTGCTTAAGAGCCAGTGACCTGCACAGCACGTTATCTCCCAGCTGCACGAGCCCAGGGTGTCCTGTGGCTCCCAAATCCACTGTCCCCTCTCCCCTGCCCACAGGCTGCTGTGTATAGTGTAGGAATCCTAGAGGAAAACTGGTGTTGGAGGAGGAAACCCCAGTGACTGAGACCTCCCAGTGGCAGAAAACATGGAACAGGGTCAGCTTTGCCCTGCTGGGTCCCATCAGGGCACTGCTGTTTCCCTTTATTCCTTATGTTACCCCAATGAAAGTTTGCAGGGCAAAACTCTTTGATGTTGATCCCATTTCCAGTTTAAGCCCCGTGGATGTGGATCTGCTGCCCCTCAGTACTGGGCTGCTACAGAAAATTGCACAAAATTAATGTACAGCAGATCCAGTTGCTGGATTTTGTTCCTGTGTAACAATCTGTCTCACACTTATTTATTCATGTTTTTTCTCCCCCCAGCCATACAAATTAGAGTGTCACTGGGATCCTGGTAAACAAACTACTGGCAGAGGGAGGAAGGCAGCAGTAAGGTAAGGAGAGAAGCATTCCATCTGATGTCTTTTAGCCAGTAATTGCCAGAATATGCATGGATTGATTTCCCAGTTTTTGGGTACTGTTACCCACTGAAAGGGGTGGATTCTTATTTGGCTAAATGCAAGGTCTGAGCAGGGTGGGAGGTCACTCCTCTTGAGTCCTGAGTTGTGCTGTTTGCTGTCAGAGGCACAGTTTGGTTCTGGGGGTTGGGATGGCACTGAGCCCATCTGGACCCTGATTTCAGTGGCTGTCCTAGATATTATTGTATTAAAAATATAAATAAATCGAGTTAGGCTTAATACAAGAGCAGAGAGACAAGGCAGGGGCCAGAGCCAGCTGTCTCTTGCTCGAGTCCTTCCCTGGGTGTGAGTGCTCCTGATTCCAGCTGTGCACTGGGAATGCCTCTCCATGGCTGGGATAATCCATTCAGAGCAATTACAAGGGATCCATCACCAGCAGGGCCTGAGCCACGGGCTGCTGATGTGGGAAAAGGGATGGGAGGGAAGGAGGGAGTGCAGGGAGGGAATCAGTTCCTGCCCCGGGGGTGTGTGCCCCGGGAATGGAGCAGTGTGGGATCCCGGGCTGGGCACAGGGCTGTGTGTGCTGTGCCCCGGGCTGGGCAGGGCAGTGGGAGCTGCTGCTCCCTGGACACTTCCTGGGAATGCACCGACAGCAGCAGGACTGGGGTGGGCACGAGGAGTTCAGAAATTCCCACAGGGAACCTTTTATCCAACAGCCCCAGGCCCAGGTGGGATCCTGTGTCTGCCTCACATCCCATCCCACGTCCTTTCCTTGGTGGAGCCGCAATCCCAGCCCGGTTTTTCCGTGCAGAGGGTTGCAGGGGGAGCAGCAGGGCTGACATCAGGAACTGCACACTGCAGAGCCAGGACTAGGAAAGCTCCACTGCCTAAAACTGCCCTGTGTGATGAATCCCTTGGCACTGCAGGGCAATCCTGCCCTGGGAGCTGCTGCCAGGCAGGGGCTGGAATTTTGGGCACAGGGTTGGGGTTTAACATGCAAGGAGATGTAACAGGAGGGGTTTGGTGCCTCCCCCTCATCAGTCCCTCTGCCCCTGCACTCCCCTCGTGGGTTGGAGAGGTAACTAAAGGAACTGGTCACTCCTCTCACAAAGCAATGTTGAAATCCAGGAGCTGGGTTTAGGAATTCTGAACAGCTTCACTGCCTGGGAAGGGACACTTTGCCTCTGCTGACACTGCAAAGGCCCCCAGTGCCTCTGTGGAGAGGTTTGGTGGGTGATTCCTGCTTGGACCATGAGCAAACAGGGATGTGGATCCATGGAGGCCCCAGCAGGGACAGTGTTACTGGGGACACTGCACATCTGACCTCCTTTGAGGCTGGAAAACCTCATTTTCCTTTGAGCCCTGCAGGTTTCCTCTTGCTCTGTGCAGTTTTCCTCCAGCAGGTCACAGGTAAGGGAGAGGGAAGAGCCTTGGGGTGGGAGGTGGAGGAGCCAGAGGACTGGGAGAGCTGGGCCAGGATGGCTCTGGGGAAGCACTCAAAGCACGAAGCTCTCCAGGTTCCACCTCAAGGAGCTGACTCAACAAATACAGAAGTGAATTGCAAACCATGAGCCAGAGACCCCCCAGATGCTGTGCAGGACAGTTCTGCTCCCTCAGCCCAGCCCAGGGAGCTGTGGAAACTGTTCCCTCCCAAATAAAAGTGTATGGGAATTTGCAGTGCAGTCAGGTAGGCTGCAGTGCACATAAGCCAGCTCATAAAAATTCCAGGGGTATGTACGTCACCCAGCTGGGGTTGGTTGGATTCTGCTCTTCCCTGGCAGTGCCTGGAGTTCCCTGAGATCACCAGGAACACTCCAGGGCTTCTGCTGCCTCCCTGACTCCTGGCATTTTCCACACCTTTGTCCCTTCCTTGCAGGAGGTTCAGGTCTCATTCCCGGTGTTCTGGGTGTTATATTGAGTAAACTGAAGTTATTCTGGCAGATAGTAATAAAATTATTGTTAATAAAATTTAAAATAGATAATTTCAGTTAGGAAATCAATAAACTAGTAATTTTCAAAACCCAGTTACCCCCTTAACCACCAACACCCAACAGTTGGCCTGGGCTTTCCCAATTTGTGTTGTTGCACTCAGAGGTCCTTGGGGATGGAGCACAAAATGATGTTTGCAGCCTCTGCTGTTACCAACCCAAATCTGGGTTGGTGTTTGTTTTGTAGCAGGAATTCCATGGGAAGGAATTCTCTGGGAAGGACCAGCTCGTTCCTTCAGGGCCAAGTCCTGCCCTGCACCAGCTCCTCCAATGGTCCCAAATGCTGAGAGATCCCATGGAACACTGGGCAGAGGAATTCCTGTGGAAATCATATTCCTTGTGTAATGGAGCCTGTTCCTCTGAGTGTGCTGCTGAAGAACATCAGGAACCTTGAGAAGATGTGTCAGCTGTGCAGGAGGTAACTGTCAATGAACTTTGAATTTTAGAACCCGAACTGCCAGGAGCAGTGGGTGGGATCTGGGGCCCAGGAGCCTTTCCCAAGGGAGTGACGTGGGCCTGTTTGGGACATGCCCCCACCCCTGGAGAGCAGGGTTGGCTGAGGCACAAATAAGAAGTAAAGGTTTATTTTTCAAGCCCTTTGCTCATTCTCTGGCTTTTCCACTGCTCTTTGGGGGCATCTCAGAACCGTCCCGGGGCTGTGGAAATTCTGCAGCCACTTCTCAGAAACCCAGGAGAGAATTACTCTCACATATGTTTCCATCTTCTGCTTTTTGCATTTTCCCCTCTTGCATTTCTTTTTCTTTGGCCCGGAACAAACCCCTCTGTGCTCCCAATTCTCACCATCCCAAGGAAATGTCACTGCAGTGTCCCAGTTTCCCGGGCAGTGGAATGCAGGATTCCCAGTTCGGTTCCAGCCCCCTCCCAGGAGTGTCCCTGCAGGATCTGGGGAAGGTTCTTTCCCTGAGCAGGACCAGGGGCTGCCTGAGCACATTTGGGGGGCTGAGCCCGGGACACCCCAAGAACAGCCCCGAGCCCGTCAGTGTTTTCTGGACAAACAATTTTATTTTCGGTAATGCGTCTATACACTGTACATTCAGTCACTGTGGTATATAAGCATAGCTATTTTCATACATAATCTCATAAAGTCCTTTATTTTACAATATTATCTGCATTGGGGGGGAGGGGATGTGGAAAAGGGGGTGGAAAAGGACTATCAAGGTACACAGCGAAATAGATAAATATGCCAAGCTTTTTTCTTATTTTTTTTTAAATCAGGCATTTATAAACAAGAAAGCATACATTACTTACATAAAAATAGTTCTAGAATAGTAGAGTAAGTCATAATATTGTCATTAGCAGCAGCATAGGAGAGACCAGGATAACAAAAATGTGCTGAAATGCTATTGGCTATTATAAATGTAAAGATTTATTTTTCTTCAATTGAAAAAATGTCATTTCTGTGAGTTCTTTTGATTTAAAAAAAAAAAAAAAAAACAACCAAAAACAAAACAACAACCAAGCCAACAAAAAAAAACCAAAAAAAACTTCTCTCTAAAACACATGACTGCTGAGAGGGCAGAATGGAACAAAATCAACCTTTTGGTAATAAAATACTTTACAGTGAAAATAAGGACAAGTAAAATGCAAATGATGGAGAAAGGTTGTAACCCACATTGAAAACTTGCAAAAAGATTTTGTTTTGTTTTTTTTTCCTAACAGACAGCAAAGGTTCTTCTCAGTTAAAAACACAACTCATAAAACAAGACAACTACCAGGTAAGAAAGAGTTTTGAAAAAGTAAACACCATATACACTTATAATACAACAGTGTAAAATGAAAAAAAGTATTTACATGTTGAATTTACTTTTAATGTTTTTTTTACATTGGCTAGTTCTGTTTGAAAAGCAGAATATTATGTATAGAGTTAGCTGCTCCATAGATATGAATGTTATTGCTGTTGGTTTTTATTCCCTTCGTTAAGTCTTCGTTCAGTAATAGAAACAAGGAGTAATTAAACTGAATATACAAGTAGTAATATATTTGTAAGTACAGGGAGAGTCAACAGCCTGTATGAAACACCTCTTCTCCCTTTGAACTTCTTAAAGGAAACTAAAGCACAGATGAAGTGAGAGATGTGGCAGCTCCTGCACTCCGGGCTGGAGAGCCCAGGGAGTGCAGCAGGGAAAGAATTCCATGTGAGTGGGATTGACTGAGGTGCTGCAGCCTCAGAAATTACACAGAGAGCTCCCTCTCCTCCAGCACCTTCACACACTCTGCAGAGCCCCCTCCCCACATCAGTGTCTCTGGGGCTGCCACAGGGACAGTTCTAATTATTCTGAATTAGAAACACGTTACACACTCTGCAGAAATAACAATTTAACTGTTAAATGTGTTCAGGAGATTCCCAACAGTTTAAGCCATTCCCTGTGAGCCCCTCCTGGGGTTTGGCTGCTGCTGGACAATGTTTGTCCCCACCTTTCTTGCCCCTGATTTCAAACCTTCATTTATGGAAATGGCTTTTCACTCCCAAGCACTGAATCTGTGGAGCCTTAACTGGGGCAGGGTGAGTCCCCTGCCAGGCACTGCCCTCCTAGAGTGACCAACCCGGGGCAGAACAGGAAACCAACAGCTGGAATTTTGTTCTGGAGCCTTTTCCTGCCCCTCTGAGCCAGGGGAGGCTGCCTGGGATCACTGGCTGTTGGTGACACTGTTCTTGTTTCTCCTCTGAAAATCCTGCAGGTTCCCTTCCTTCAGGAGGGGGGAGCCTCCAGCCCAGGGAGCCCCCGAGCTCCCCTGGAAAAGGAAACCACAGGTAAGAGTCACTTTTCCTGGGGAAAAACACCTGGAGATGGACAGGCTGCCTTTGCTTCTTGAATTATAAGGGGAGAGACACTCTCAGAGATCAGGGGAAACCTGCAAAGCCAGGGCTCAGTCCCTGAGGGAGGCCAGGGCTGGTCTCTGTGTAATTCCCAGCAGGGCAGCAAAGCAGAGCACGAGGGACTCGAGATGCACAGAAGGGTAAGGACAGACACAGCTGTTTAGTTTCCCTTGAAGAAATAAGTGGATAATACAGCTCTGGAAATCATAAGGCTGAGAACATTTTTCTGCATACTGCATAACAAAAGAACCCCTTTACATAAGACAGTAATAATGCCCATTAATGACTATATGGCAGAGTTTAATCCATGCATATGATTTAATAATCGCAGAAAAAAAAACATACAAAGAAAATAAAACCCCACATAAAAAAAAAAACAAACAAAAAACAAACCTGCTCAAGCATAATCAAAATTCCTTTTGCATTGCACTTTAGAAGGAGATCTGCACCTAGAGCCAGTCTCCAGCCTCCCAAACACAAGGGCCAACCCCTGTATCCACAGACAGGTTCAGGTCATGGACTTGGTGTGACTGTTTCTTGCTCCCAACAGTTTTACATTGTCCCAGTAATTCCACTCCTTTCATATTTCTTCTTTTTTTTTTGTACCTAAAACATATATATGAACTTCTTTGTTAATGCTCACAGTTATTATAATGGTTATTACAATGGTTTCAAGCAAACAGCTCTTGTTTAAAAAAAAAAAATAAAATCTCTCTAATGTACTGTAAGTAAATACCATAATTTTAGGATTGGAAGCCGCTTTCTGTCTACTGGGAAATAATTTTGAAGCTTACATAGTTTGCATTAATGTCCAAAAGCAAATAAAGATTACTGGAAATATGTTCCTTTGTTTAGAGTAACTTCTGGGTATGATGATGCATAGGGGGGGGTTCTCTTTTTTTTCCTTTTTTTTTTTTTAATTTCTTTTCTTTTTATTCTTTTAAGGTAAAAAAGTGTCAGCATTGCCTAGAGAAGATGCTGAGAGGAAAAATGAGCTGGAAGGCACATCTGCAGCCCCAGATCACATTTTCACATTTGAGTGTGTCAGAGGTGAGTGTTTAGGGGTGAAAATAACTTTTCTCTTGATCAGTAAAGCACCAGCTTTATTTGTTAAGCACTTTTGGGAGCATCTCAGCTGCTCCCCAGCTTGGGTCAGATACACAGCCACAAAACCAGTCCCCTGGTCTGGTGAATTCCTGCTTGGGATGTTCTGGACCTGCTGGATCCTCCTCTGTGAAGTGGAGATGCTGATGGGAGGTGGCAGTGCTGGCAGGTTGGGTTCATGGTTTGCACAGCTCTCAGGGCAGAATCTAGAATGCTTGGCTTCAGAAACAGGGAATAAAATGCAGAGTAAGATTCTGACAAAGTGCAGGTTTTAAAAAAAAAAAAAAAAAAAAAAAACTCAGCACCACCCCCAGGGCAGTGATGGCTGCGTCGTGTCCCGGGGCTGCGGCTTGGACCCCAACATGAAAGTGAGCTTCTTGTTGAAAACAAAAAGGTTTTTAATAAAAAAACCATGTGGCTTATTCACAGCAGCAAAACCGTCGTGGTGTGGTCTGTGGTGGCCGAGGCTGCACCTCCCTGGGCACGGGAATCCTGCACCTCCCTGGGCACAGGAATCCTGCACTTTCCAGGGCATGGGAATCCTGCATCTCCCTGGGCACAGGAATCCTGCACCTCCCTGGGCACAGGAATCCTGCACTTCCTGGGCACGGGAATCCTGCACCTCCCTGGGCACGGGAATCCTGCACCTCCCTGGGCACGGGAATCCTGCACCTCCCTGGGCACGGGAATCCTGCACCTCCCTGGGCACGGGAATCCTGCACCTCCCTGGGCACGGGAATCCTGCACCTCCCTGGGCACGGGAATCCTGCACCTCCCTGGGCACAGGAATCCTGCATCTCCCTGGGCACGGGAATCCCAACGGGCAGCTCGGGACGAGGGCAGGGAAATACTGAACTCACGGCGAGATGGTGCAACGAGATGAGTTTTCCAGAAAACTGAAAGCTGAAGATTTCAGAATGACTTCAACACACAGATGTCTCTGCTTTGTTCCTCTACCAACTGATCATCCATTTCCTTCCTCCCTTTCTTTCTTCCCTTTCCCAAAGCTCAAGTGCTCCTGGATGAAGTCTCTGCACACCCCAAGGGTGCTGGCGTGGGCTGCACACGCGGGGCCCGTGGGGCTCTCAGTCCAACACCACCTCCTTCCCCACCCCCTGCACGCTCCTGCATCTTCCCTTCTTCTTGTGTTTAGGGCAGGAAATTAAGATAATTCTTTCTAAGGAAAAAAAAAATCAACTTGGAAAAGCACTCTGAACTTCCCCCACCCCCACGTGACGGGATGGAACCGCGCTGGCTTCCGAGATGGCTGGAAAACTGCTCCTGACATGGCACCATCACCAGAGAGGGGCTTCTGCACAAAGAATCCCAAAGCCTAGAAAGTCATTAAAAATTGTGCATCGAAGGTTTGTTGTTTTTTTGTTTGTTTTGTTTTGCTTTTAAACGTTCATTATAAAAAAATCGTGTTAATTTTTTTTTTTTAATACCAAGTCTGTATAATGAATTATTTTAAATAGCTTATAAGAAAAGTTGGTTTGCTTTGTCAATTCCAAAATGTTCCAACGGGCAGGAGAACACAACCCCCCTGCCCTGCTCTCCTTGGACTCTGGGTTCAGCTGGACGACGCCGCTTGCTCCGAGTTTGCCAGTAGAAAATTCTCGCTGTGGACTTAAAAGTATTTTGTTTTACAAACACTTTGTGTTTTCTAGGCACAGTAAGATGTTGTGCTATATGGATCGGGAAGGAGAAAAAAAACAAACAAAAAAGAGGCAGAATTCAGTGCTTCTGTTCTAGAGGGTAACAACGTTTGCCTTCCAACTGCTGCGAGTCCGTGTTCCCGCCGGTGCCAGGACAGCTCACCCCCCGCGCCCGCCCTGCGGCGCCGCTCCCGCCCTGCCCTGCCCGGGGCTCAGTTCTCCATGGGGCTCGAGGTGCTCTCGCTGCTGGGCTGGCTGCTCGACTTAGGCCACAGTTGTTCCTGAAGTTCCTTGACCACCTTCTCCAAGTGTTCCCGGGCCTCCCGCTCGTGCAGGAGGTCGGCGCGGAGCTGCTCCCGGTCGGCCTCGGCGTGCTGCAGCTTCACCTGCAGGTCCTCGATCTGGGGGCAGAGCAAACGGGGATGCCTCAGGAGCCTGCACTGCCCCACAGAGCTCTGCACAGGCTCAGAGGAGGGACAAAACCGTGCACTTCAGGGGTAAGACTATCAGGATTGAGGCAAGGAAGGAATTCCCTTTCCCATACTTTTTTCCCTGCAGGGGCTGCTGAGCTTTGAAACTTCCCAGTGACTCCAGCTCCAGCAAGGGAGGTGAAAGCCAGCAGAGTTAAGACACAGCCTAAGAATTCCTTAATGCAACAGAACTCTGGTCACTCCTTACACCATCACTTCTTGAGGCAGAAACAGCTCTGGCACAGCTGGAGGGCCTGGGGGGCTCAGGGGGCCGTGACAGGGCTGGAATCAAACACCAGGGGATGCTGCCAACCTGCCAGTCCTGGCTTCAGAAAAGATAAACCTGCAGAACATTAGGCTACTTGAGTTCTTTTTGAGGTGATTTTAGCCTTTTAGCTTGGGAAACCTCATTTATTCCTTCCCAAGGAGGGGATGTAGTAGGAGACTGAAATTCCCCGTTGTCACAGGCTCTGGAGCAGCCCCAGTGCCCGGCTGGACAGAGCTGGAGCACACCCAGCCCAGCCCAGGGGTTCACCTGCCCTGCTGGTGCCTGGGTTGTGTGCTCTGGGAACAGCCAGGCACGCCCAGGGCAGCAGCTCCCGGCGTGGCTCTGTTTAGTCTGGACACCCCTTATCAGTGAGACATCCTGTGATGCTGGAGAGGAAGCCCCACATCATTTCCTGCTCCTGCTCAGACGTGTCTCAGCAGCACAGGGGCCACTCCCCTTCCCGTTATCAGAGAGCCTCTGATTGCCAGGGCTCTGCTTTTCCTCTTCCCCTCCTCCCTTAAAGCCACCACACCAAATACCTGCAGCTCCCACCTGAGACCCAGCACTGGCTCCAAGGAGCCCCTGTGTCTGACAACACCCTGCCCAGCACCCCCCGCTCCCAGAGCTCCTCTGGCAGCAGCTCAATGTCCTCTGGGAGGCAGAGCCTGCCGAGGGTGACCCGTGTGTGGCAGGGCCGTGGGGGCGAGTTTGAACTCGAGGAGTTTAAGTCGGTCCCTGTGCCCCGTTTTTGGGAGTTCTGCCCTTTCCTGACGTGCTTTCCCCCCGGGCTGTCCCTGGGAGGGCAGTGGAGCCGCGCCCTGGCAGGGACAGGGACAGGACAGGGACAGGGACAGGGACAGGGCACAGGGACAGGGAGGGCTGTCCCAGCTCGGGGGGCCTCACTGGCCGAGACTTGCTCGGGCGCCCCGCCTCGCAGCCCTTGTCGCACACGGCGGATCTGCCGCGGCCTGCTCCCAGCTCCCCGCTGCAGCCGCACCCGCGACTGCGTCGCCTCCTTCATCTTCTTCTCGTTCTCGGCCCGCAGGCGCTCGATCTCCTTCCGCAGGTTGCGCTTGGCCTCGGTGGCTTCCCGCAGCTTCTCCTTCTTGGCCACCCTCAGGAACTCCAGCTCCTGGGCACAGAGGAGGGAGGTGTGAGCAGGGGGAGCAGAGCCCTGGGATCCAAACCCCATCCCCACCTCCCGCCGGCCGGGACCGAGGCAGCTCGGGGCTGAACCCCGCTCTGACCCTCGGACAAGCTCTTTTCCTTTAAATCCTCCGGGGTTCCTGCACTCCAGCCCCCCTGAAGTCCTGGATAACAAAAAGCTCGAGGGTGCAGCCACGTTTTGCTTTGTCAAGCAGAATGGCTGCGACCATCTGGGCCTGAATAAAGATGAAGTGCTGTTGGAGAGAGCTCCCAGCAACGTGCTCTGCTCCGGCTCCCCCCCAACTGCAAAGCCCGGGCTGGAACTGGAGGCACTGGAGATGCACAACATGGTAAGTGCAGGTTGTGAGTGTCCTTTGTGTCCAGCAAAGCTCAAGAGGGAAGTTCACAACCAGCAGCAGCTCCATTGGACCAAATCCCCCAAAAATCCACTTAAGGCAAGTTCAAAACACAAACTGTGTGTGTTTTCTAACCCTGGGTGCTGTGGGTGACTGGTGTGAGTCCCAAGTCTCCTGGCAACCAGCCCATGGACTGCCCTGTCACAACAGCTGGAGAACTCCAGGCTCCCTGGAGCTGAACTGAACCTGGGCACTGCCCTGGGCACTGCCCCTCCCACCATCCAGGATCTCAACAGGAGCTGCTGCCTTGGAATCTAAATCCATGGGAGAGGGATAAGGAACCTCAAGGTACACAGGAAGCAGCTCCTAAGCTGTTGAAGTCCACGTTCATCATGAGCACAGGGCTGTGGCTCACAGGTCTGTCTCCTAAATGGTTAAATTAGAAACTGAGGATCTTTCTTCCCCAGCAGCAGCATTTCCTCCCTGTCCAGCCCCGGTTTCTGTGCAGTAACAGTGCAGGCAGGGCATGGGAAATGCACTCTGACAATCTCACTTCCCAGCCAGGCCATTGTTAGCACAGCCCTGCCTCTGGAAGGGCACACAGAGCCTGGAAACACACACACATGGACCTTCTGGGACTGGGAACCCACAGCTTCCCAAAGGGAAAATGGTGCCCAGACACCCCTGACATGGGGAGAGACACTTAACACCTCACCACTCAATTCTGCTGCAGCAACTGCTTCCTGTAACTCCTGCTTTAAGTACCCACTATTTAGTTCAGATATTTAAATATTAGCTTTAAATATATATCACTTATAAAAGTTTACTTTTAAATACATAAAATAAAGCACAGATTTACTGAAACACCAGGGAATGAAGTGATTTGCTCAGGGTAACTAAGAACAAGCCAAAGAGCCCCAGTGCTGGTTTTGTGTCTCCCATGCTCCATATGCACCATCCCATGGATTTGTCCCAGCTTGGGAACAGCTCCACAGAATACTCAGAGAGGACACACAAATCTCCTGCCTTGGTTGTATCTTCTATTTCTCTGCACTAGTTCTGTCCCAGCCCCTTAAAAAACCAGTTCAGCCACCACTGGGCTCAGCTCATGGCCAGCACTGACCTGCAGCTCTGTCTGATCACTCTGCTACAACCCCTGTGTCCAGGATTTCCAGAAATAAGGAGCTGCTTCCCTGACTGAAGCCAGTGGGATGCCTGACAAAGACCTCAGTTCAGCTGTGGCCAAGCCCCAGGAACACCCTCCCTCAGCTGGGACATGGCAGGGTTTTCACAAAGCTTTTAAAACTCCAGCTAAAGCCTCCAGAAATGTTTCCTGTTCAGTGAGATGAAAACAAAATAAACTCTGCTGGACTAGGAGACTTTTTCAAGTAATGAAAAGATGTTGATTTTGGTAACCATGGACTTATAACCCAAGGAAAAACAGGTGGAAAGCTTAAAGGTGGAGGAATGGTCCCTGTGTTTTGGTTTCCTGGCTGGATTTACAAACAGAGCCCTGGCAAAGGCTGTTGCTATTTGGGATAAGTGAGGCAATTCCCTTTTCCCAGGAGGGTCCCCAGTGCCCCTGAGGAGCCCCCGAGCAGGGTAGGGCAGGGCAGGAGGGGAGGCAGTACCTGGTGCAGGCTGCGCTTGGCCTGCAGGGCCGCGTTCAGCTTCTCCTCCTGCTTCACCCTCATCTTCACCACCTCGTGCAGGAATTTCTCTTTGGCTTCTTTTGTGTCCAGGCCACTGTCCAGGGCCTGCCTGAGGTGCTCCAGCTCAGCTTCCAGGCCGCTGCTGTGGGAGTCAGGGTGTGCTGCCACCTCGTAGGAGCTGTTGACGGGCACGGGGGGCTGCATCCCAGGGGAGCTCATGTCCTTGGCAGAGCTGGATGAAGTGAAGGATGGGGAGGAGAGCGAGGATAAGGAGGAGGTGACTGGAAAACAGAAACATTGAAACATTCATTTAAAAATGTCTAAAATCAATACATGTATTATAGACAGCTCATACATAACTCATATTTAAGAGTTGGACTCGATGATCCTTGTGGGTCCCTTCCCACTCAGCATATTCTGAGATACATATTTTATATATATATACACATATTATATAGCTCAAAAGATGCTGAGGCCCTTTTATACAGACACTATCAATATTCAATTAAAAAAAAGAAGAAAGAAAATAAAACCTGGCTCGTTTTATACTGAGATACTTGAAATATGACACAAAGCAGCCCTGACTCAAGGGACCAACTCGCAATTTGTCTGAATTGTGACCGTGCAATTCACGTCACCATTGAGGCTTCGGGCTTCCAGAATTCCATTTGAACACCCAAAAAGCTGCACAGTGAAAGATCCAGCCCAAAGACAGCAAAACAAAGGCAGGTACGACCACCACTCACATTCTTCCCTGGTTTCTACTTCAATTTCTGCTTCCGACTCCTTGTCCTCCTCGGGGGCCGGGGCCGTGGCCTCGGGAGCAGCCACATGTTCCACGTGTTTCCTTTTCCTGGGCTGGGCAGAGCTCAGGGAGTCGCTGCCCCGGGACACCACGGTGGCACAGGGGGGGTTGCTCACGATCTTCTGCTGGGCTGGGGGGGCCAGGGCCACGTTGGGGGCCACGGCGCTCTCGAAGCTCTTGTAGGAGTAGAAGCTGGTTCAGAGCGGGAGGCAAAGGGAAGGAGAAGAGGGTCACATTCTCGGTTTTAGAATGCTTCCCAGGCCATGGGTGGCACTGGAATGATGGTGAGTTCACTGATCCACACCAGCTGAGAACCTGCTGTATCTCCAGCCCTGATTCACACCAGCTGAGAACCTGCACTTGTCAGTGTTTGCTCTCATTAAACCTGGAGAGGAGGGACAGGACACCCCGAGCACCCAGCTGGGAAGGGATCACATTCCCAGTGCCACGTATCCCAAGGGCACAAAAGGGATGGGACCTCCCAGAGCCTGCAAGTCACAGCACTGTCCCCTCCTGCTCCTGCACTGTTGCTTTGCCCAGCTGCACACTGCACTTGTGTCCATCCACAAACGTTCTGGGAGCTCAAACCAGCACTTCCCGAAGGAAAGCCATGGAGTGCCAGAGAGTCTTTGGTGTGTCTGTGATTTGGACACAGCACCCAAGTGCCCATGTGTAAACCAGAGGTGGAACAACCAACGCACCTGTGGTAAAGAGCAGCAGTACTGTAACATCAAATATGTAGGATTTTGCAAAAGGAAAAGCCAAGACTTTGTATCTTCCATTCAGCATCTCCTACACCACATGCCTTCAGTTATGTGTTAAAATTCCTCCTGGACCTGCTAAGGATGGAGCTGTGCTGGGAACACAGCCTCTGTCAGGGAGCTGCTGCAGGGCCCATGGAATGGATGGGAATGGATGGATGCTCCCTGACCACCTGCCTGACACAGTGACTCCACTGCCCTTAAATAAAAGCCCAAGAACTTCAGTGACTGTCCCCAGAGGGACCATCCCTTCCCCACAGCCTTTCCTTCCCATTTTCACAGCAGGTTTCACCCCAGAAAACCCATTTAATGAACACACAGACCACCAACACTTCTGGTTTCCCTTCTGCCAATCCCACCACTGATGGTGGTGCAGTGAGGTGACAAAGCCATCCCCCCAGAAGGAAGCTGCCCCTCCATGTGTCCTTACCTGTCCCGGATGAGGGCGGGGAGGTGGCCCGAGAGCTCCTTCTCGCCGGCCGACACCGCGGGGGACCAGGGCCGGAACGCCGAGAGCCGCTGCCGGGGGTGCACACACCCGATGCTCTGGGGACAGGAGTGACACCCACAGTCCTTCATGTCACAGCACGGGGACACCCAGGGCCACATCCCAGTCCCCAGGGCCACATCCCAGTCCCCAAGGCCACCCCACCGTCCCCACAACCACCCACCACGGCCAGGCCCTGCTCCCACCGGGAAAACCTCGCGTGTGTCCTGGGCCAACGAGTTCTGTGCAGGTCACAGGGACCACAAACAGCTCCTGAGTCCTGTAGGATTCCTGCACCTCAAAGGCAGGAGGGAATTCCTCACTCCCCTGTCCCAGTCCGGGTCAGTGGGCACTGGAGGGTGGCAGGGACACGGGGGGACAGTGCAGCTCAACGCTGACCAGGAGAAGGATGGAAATGGTGCTAATTTAGAAAACCTGGGCAGGTTGGTTCTCTTGTTTTCTCCTCATTTCCCCACTCCATGCAGTGATGCCATGTGCTAATTTGATCTTTCGATTACAAAATATTCAACAATCACCTTGTTGGATGAACTGGATAAGGACCGTAACCAACTGGACTGTTTCTCCTTCTCAGAAGAAGCTGGAGATTGGGAAGCAGAGTCATCTGTTTTGGGCTTTTTGGAAGCAGGAGGATCTGAAGAGACCTGAAACAAAGACAGGCAGGAAAACCCAAAGTCAGAATTCCTCACTTTGCAATCAGCTCAGAAACAGGTTATAAGGCAAAAGCCAAATTTGTATTTAAAAGGAAGAAACCTTGGGTGTTGTCCTGTAAGGCCAAACAAAGGAGTGAAAACAAGGGGCAGACACCAGCTGTGACATAACAGAGCTCATCCCGTCCCTCGGGATCCTCCAGGGCAGTGTGGAGGGTGCAGGAGACAGGGGCAGTGACCTGAGGGGGACACTGCACACAACTGTCGGCCCTTTATGATTTCTGTGTGCAGAAAGGTAAGTTTAATGTGGTTGCTGAACTGGAAAGATTATTTTAAACGAGAACAGACCAGACTTTGTTATTCTGTTTGCAGTGGTTGTTATGCCGATGACTTCACTACCCCACAGCTGCAGTGGATTCTGGGGGTGCTGCCAAGAGCTGCTTTGCCTTTTCCACAAGTGGCTCAGCTTGGCCCATAAATCATCCTCAAGCACAAGAAAGCCCTTTGGCAAGCAAACCCCCTTTCCTTCAACACTGTGAAGGAATAAAATTCCTATAGTCCCAGCGTGGCTTGCAAAAAAATTGGTAACTACTGGTTTAACTGGTGCTCTGGGGATCCCAGCGGGAAGCCCTGCCAGCACAAACACCTCCACGGGCAGGGAGGGAGAAGGTTCTGGACCCTGTGCTGCATCATGACCAGATATAATAAAAGAAACGTTCCACCTCCATTTCTGTCCCTCCTTCTGTCTTTTTGCAGCTCCAAACTCTCCACCTTTCCACATTCCCCTGCCCTGGCTCCCGGTGAGGTGGCAGAACCACGCTGCAGGAACTACTAAAGCCTCATTTTTGCATTAATTTTTTTCTTCCTTACACCCCTCTGTGGTCAAACAAGCATTGATACAGGTGGTAACATCCTGGGAGCCTGAAGTGCTCCAAACCCAGGTCTCCTGGTCAGTGATGGAAAGGGTCTCATTTGCCAACGTCCTGTGTTCTGAAAATCAGTCCCCTCCAGGCACCTTCAGCTGGGAACTCAGGGGCTGCTTCTCCAGGGGATTATTGAACCTTGTACCTGAGGAACTGTCCAAGGGCCCTTCTGCAGAGTCCCAACCCAGCAGCTCTGTAACTCCAGCCATCCCACCCCTTTGCACACCTTGATCAGGAGGAAATCACAGCCCCAAGTCCGTGCCCAGCCTGCAGCTCCCAGGGGAGCAGGGCAGGAGCCCGAGCTGTGGCTGCAGCCGTGGCTGCCCAGCTCCTGCCAGTCCCCCTGGCACACACCCACCCTGCCCAGCGTGCCCAGGAACGTCATCACACCGTGCCCAGAGGGCTCAGCACAACATTCCCTGGCACTCAGGGCAGAGCAGATGAGCAAGGATCCCACGGGGAGGGGGGGTGTGACCCCCAGTTACAACCAGCCCGTGCCAGAGCCAGATGCCAACTCCAAGGGATTTGCAGTGGATTCTTTGGGCACGGCCTCAGGCTTCCCCAGGGCCACTCAGACCCAGCTAGGAAAAGGCATTCCCACTCTGGAACACTTTCTGCAGAGCAGGACAATGCACTGGAGGAGGTTTGTTCCTGCTCTCGGAGATGCTGCCTGTGCAGAATCAGTGACAGCACGAGAAAGGTATTTGGCAAGTGCCCACTGATCCCAGCCCTATCCACTGGGGATGCTGAGCTGTGTGGGGAGGGGAGTCGGGGTGGAGGGTGGGGAGGAAGGGGGGCTTGGAATGGAAAAGGCAACAGGTGGCAGGACTCAGCACGGAGCCCGGCCCTCCCCCGGCCATCCGCCCGCAGGACATTCTGTGCCGGCCGGGTGGGACAGCCAGGGGACCATTCCCACCAGGACACTGGGGCCATCCCTGCTCCACACACTGGGGCCATCCCTGCTCCACACACTGGGGCCATCCCCGCTCGGGACACCACAGCACACAGGACACCCATCTCCAGGAGCAAGAGTCCATTCCCGAGAGGCTGCAGGGGAGATGTTCCAACAGAACGATCTCCTTTGCTCATCTCCAGCTTTCTCCACTCCCCCCCTTCCTTCCTCTCTAAATCCAGGCTGACACCAAGGGCCAGGAGGGCTCTGAGCACAAAACCTGTCAGCAGACCTGGGAAATGATCCTTAACCTCGTTGCCAGGAGCCCGTATTGATCTGGAAACGGGAGCTGCAGCTCAGGAGAAAGCAGTGAAGGAGATTTGTGCACAGGGGAAACAGGTCCCCCAGAGACATGGAAATGGGAGAGAAAAGGAGGTGCTAAGCAGGGCCTGCAGGGCTTTCTAACTTCAAGTCATCTCCCACCACGGGACTCCTGTATCCTGACAAACCAGAGCTGCCTGATGTGGTGCAGCCCAAAAAAGGGCTGCTGCCAATGTGGGTTTGGAGCTGCTGTGACACCTCCACCGCTGTCTCTCCACCCACTGTCCCATTGTGCTCACAAGGATCAGCTGCTGGCTGAGGCAGGAGCTGCCTCTTGGGAGCTGCTTCAAAACCCCTCCTTAGCAGTGTACAAAGGTAATAATTCCAGCAGCTTCCCCCCGGTCTGTGAAATACCGAGTCACTGCATGTTGATTTTAGTCAAGAAATGGAGGTTCCCCCTGAAACTCCTGACCCAGAACCACCCTTCTGGCCACAGCCCGGAGCCACTGGATTCCAATTTTGCAGGCTCTGACTCTCGAGGAGGCAGGAGGGAATTTGCTCTCAACTACAGGAAGATACTCAGATGTGGAACAAGACGAGTCACTGAACACAAAATCTCCTCTCCAGGTGACTCAGCCATTACATCCCACTCCAGGACAGATTCCAGGCACCAAGATACCCCACTCCAACACTCCTCTGGCCCCAGCAGCCAACAAACCTTGGTACTGGCTCAAATGGGGATGACTTGATTCCATTTCTTCTCTTTGCCAAATAACGAAACACACAGAGTTGCAAAAGAAATACTGAAAATCTGATGTAACTTTTTTGCCATCTTCACACATGATTTATGAAACCCTTGAACACAAACTCTGGGAGGCTGAAATAAGTATTTCCTGATTTCCTGCTCATTTTTTTTCTTCCATTGAAGGCAACTTAACAATCTGCTGTCAAATGGGCCCCGTGCTGGGCACACCCACTTGTGAATATACATTTTCTCCACTCCACAGCCACGAGAAACTTCAGGACACAAATGGGCCCAGAAACGCTGCAGGACACGTTTCCTTAAGCTTTGGGACTGCTGCTTTCTGAAGCAAACAAGTTTCAAGGAAAAACAGATACAGAGGGATTTACAAAGCTGCTAAAAAAAGATGTCAGGAGTCCAGTGCAGAGGGAGATTGGGGCCTGTGAATAATGTCAGCCATTTTAAGGCAAACCCAAATTAGGCGGCTCAGTTTGGCCTCCAGCCAACCAGGGCCACATTTGACATGTCAGATCAAATTTTCTACTTCAATTAAGTATTACAGTAACAGACCATGAGACCAGTGGAAAGAATTTCTGACACTCTCCCCCTCTCAGAAAGACAAACCATGCCCAGTGCTCTGCAGAACCAGCAGGTCTGGGCCGGGCACCCTAACGTGCAACTCTTCCTGCAACCACAACAGAAAATGGGCCCAGAAGAAATTCTGACATTTTAAGGTGTGGGAGTGCTCCCAGATATGATTCCTGGTGCCTGAACATCTACCCAAATACATCTCCTGAGGGAATTCACTTTCTTTTCCCTACTGGGCTGAGCAAAGGCTTCTGTTCCCTCCTCATCCTTGGCCCTGCTGTGCCCAAAAATGGGGCTGTGTCACGTGTGGGGCTGCACATGGCAGTGAAAACAGGGCTGCTTTTGCTTTGTTGAGAGTGAAAACATTACATGAAACAAGTTGAAAATGTTTAGGAGGCCTGCATGCCTGTGGAACTTTTAGCTTAGGAATATACTTCCAGAAATCAGCCCATCTCCAAACCCTGATCTACCCTCTGTCAGCAAAACCTCCCTGTAACTGGCTCTGAGTCTGGCACTGAATTCCAAGACCTCACTGCAAACACAGAGCTGGTGAATGGCCCATGTCTCTCTGTGCTGGTCCCTGTTCCCAGGCCAGCTGTGATGCTCTTCCACGGGGTGAGTGCAGGAATGGGAACTGCTGGCTCTGCTGCCCGGCCCCGGAGATGCAGCAGCTCTTCCTGCAGCTCCAGGAGCATCCGAGAGCCTGGGAGCAGGTGCAGGGACCCTCAGCTAAAGGGATGCTCTGCAGTGCTTGGATGAGGGCTGGGAATCCATCCCTAGGCCCTGTCCAGTCCTTTTGAGGATGGGAAACACGGACACCAGAGCAGCAGGAATCACGGCATCCCGTGTGGCATCCTTAGAAACTTCCAGGAGCACTTCCAGGGTCTGCTCCAGGGGCTCTTCCCAGTTTGCTGGTGACACAGAGCGGTGTCTGACACTGCTGAGCAGCAGATATAGGATGGGAAACACCCCGTGCCCATGTTTAAAGGGTGCTGGGACATTCAGCTCCTGCTCTTGCAGTGAAAGGATGCAAAGCCTCGTTTTAAGCCCAGGTCAGTCCCAGCTCTTCCTTCAGCAGCACCCAGGTCAGGCTTTCCAGGCTCCTGCTCCACAAGGATCTGTTATGTTACACAGCTCTGTACATGGTGTTTCAGAAGTGCCAAGGATTCAAAAGCTACTTCTGGAGGCTTCCAAGACCACGAAATTCCAGAACTCAGGAACTGAACTTGGAATTCTCCACGTGGCGCCTTCACGACTCGCGGGGCTGAGTCTCTCTAAGAACAGGCTGAGGAGAGAGGGTGTTCTGGCTGCCTTGAGGTTTCTTTCAGATCCCCAGTTCAAATCAAATTTAAAAATGCACAAAGGAGGCATCTTCCATGTGGGAAAGGGGCCCTTCATGCACATCCTTTAAGCCTCCAGGAGCACGTCGACGGGTGGCCAGAGCCCTTGCTTCCCAAAGCCTCTTTGTGACGCGGTCCAGAAGTGATTAATAAGGAATTAGAGGTCTCTGTAAGGACTGCACTTTCAC